CTGTTCTGACAAAATATTGGATTTTAATAAGGTTTTGTTTATCTTAGAAATGCCATTTTGTTAATTGTTAGACTTAGCTGTTTTACCTTTCTTCTCATCTGTGATCATTAAGAGTTCCTCATGCACCATAAGCAGTATTGCCCTTCCACAAGAGCTTTGTAGAACAGTAGCTGAAAGAAAAAGTTGTGATTATACTTCGGGTCTGTTTCTCTGTCTTGTATTATTTGAAGGTTGTATTAATCTCTTTAGGATATTCAGGACAAAATCCTGAACTGTATAAAGCCACTGGAGTTTTAATAAGAACAAGATTTATTAAGAAAGGAGACAGAGCACTGAAGAAATGGATTGTGTAACAGGTCTAAGCTGGAATGTTGCTAAAGCTTGTCTTGATTGTCTCCTTCATGACATTAAAAGAAAGTGAACTATCTTACACATCCTCTGATTGAAATTGCCTGTCTTCCCTCTGACTTCCTCTTGGAACTACCAAATCTGGGAGAATTCCTGGAATCAAATGTTTTCTTTCGAGGGTGCTTTTGCTGTGTATTTACAGATCTCTTTGTTCTTAGATCCTACATTAGCCCTGCCTGCTGCTGGGTACCTCTGCAGGAGGACAGCCACAGTTCTATGCAGCCTTCTTCATCTGCAGCCCACTTGGTGTAGGTTAGAAACACAGATGCCCAAAATAATAGTGCAGGCATCAAGACTGCCCAGAGTAGTGCTTCCTGGCTGGCATTGAACTGTTAAAGTTTTCATCTTCTGTATAATTTTAAGTTCTTTTGAAAGTATTATACAAATGTCGCTCCTCATCCTTTTTCCGTGTCTTATTTTTGAACAAGCAGATCACAGCTCAAGTCTATCTACCCTTTCTCCTAAATTATTGACCATGACTTTACATAGTAAATTGCACTGGCTACAAATGTTTGCTTGAACATAATTCATGACAGAGTTTAAAGAGACAGAGTTTACATATCATTTTCTCAGTCAGTAAACAACTGATGTTAATTTTGGCATTTCTCAGCTTCCGAGGGCTTAGTTTTGATAAGATGGTGTTCTTTTCAATACTCACAGTCCATTTAAATAATTTTTTTATTAAAAAAAAGCAGCAAAACTTGCACTGAAAATGAAATTACATCCTGCAAAATCCTACTGACCCTTCGTTTCTCTGAAAGACTCCTACTAGTGAGTTTTGCAAGCAGTGGAAACCAGAGGAACAGCATCCTCCACTATCACGTCTGCTAAGTGGCATTAGGCATTGCTGGGGATGATACACACATTTGCCATTTCCCACTCAGGAAGGAGGGTATAGCTGAGATGGACAGGATGGCAGATGCATTCTTGGGCTGGTGGCAAGAGTTAGGAAGAAACAGAACGTGCTCCGTGGAAATCTTCACTGTGCTGTGTTTAGGTCAGATGAAGAATTACCAAATTTGGGCTTTTATTTTTTTTTTTTAATATGCACAGCAAAAAGAAAATACCAGAGACCTTGTTGTTTTGATTCTAGACCTTAGCAAAATGTTTGCAGAAAAAACCACGTTAAACGCGAGCAGAATTTTTTTAGCCTTTTTCTAATGAATAGTATCAATGAGTGAAAAAAAACAAGCCTTGAGCAGATGCTTGGAGTAGAATTATATTGAAGATTGGATTTAGCAAATGTGTAAATGACTGAAAACAGGCTCTTAACAAGTAGAATTTTTAGGCACCTTGTTGTCAAATTTTAAGTCCTAGATGAAGTCATTTAGAAGTAGCTTCAGACTTTCCCTTTCCTGTGTGCTTTCCCTTTTCCTTTTTTTTACAGGTGTTTTTCTTATTCTTTCTGATTTCATTGTACTGATTTGGCCGCATAAACACTCCTGAAGTGTTTATTTTGCCTTGTCTGTAACCAGTCCTTGGGCTTATTTAATTTTTTTTAAAATAATTCTCTGCCTTCCAAGAAGACTGAAAAGATAAGCAACTGAATATATGGAACATATAACATAAGTTTAAATTGTCCTGTAAATCTGTCAGAATGGTTGTGGTGTTAGTTAAAACTGGTAAAGCTGGATCATTGCCTTATTTAATGGCTTTAGTAGAAAACAGTTTTCTCCTGCTTTCCCTATATTTTAAGGTCATTAATGAATCATTATCTATTGCTAGTAATTACTGATCTCTTGAGAATATTGGTTTAATTATATAGGAATCATAAGTGGAAGATACAATTACATATTCTACAATGTAGGTAGTAGTACCTTGGTGTATTATGCCTTTAAAGAATCTGGGGGTTTTTTTGTGGATTTTAATTGCTAAGTGTGCCTGGTAAAATATGAATTATTGTATTACTGCATGTGATAAAAGGTATACTATTGTGAGCCTCACAGGCTGCAGGTGTAACAGATGTAAGGCAAGATTAACAGGACAGAACAATAATTAAAACACAGACAGCCGTCTCAAAAAAAAAAAAAAAAAAGGTTTATCATGTCCAAGGCAGTTATTAAGTGTGTCTTAAATTCTCTTTGCAAATATTTGTAAAAGCAATAAAAATGTGTTAGTTTGAAAGACAGCTTTTCAGTGTGGACATTTAGTTAAGGAATTAAGATCCTTTTTTATGAATATAAAAGCTGAGTGAAGTCCTGCCATATGGCAGAATGGTTCAGAGGCAATAGGGTCCTAGGTTTATAGATGCTGTGAGCTAAACACTGCTGAAAAAAATAAGAGAGCAGTTAGTATATATGCATTTACAACAGTATGAATTGCTTACTCCCTTTAAGACAGGAAGGTTCAAATAATTAACAGTAATATTATGTTTGCCAAAGAAAGTCCAGTTGTTCTTCAGCAGTCTACATCTGTGAAACGTGATACCTCTGGGGAATGAGATTTAATTTTCCCAGGAGAAAATATAAAAGCAGGGAAAAAAAAGGAATGACTTCTGCTTGAGCAGAATAAACCTGCATCTACAAACGATTAACACTGCATAATGAAGTAGTAAAGAAGCAAAAGAGATTTCTAATAAAAGACTAATAACAAATCCCATTACACCATGGTGTATTTTTTCCCTTGAAATGTATTAGATTCTTAGCAAGGCTTCTGAATGAGACTTGGGTAGTTGCAAGCAAAATCAGTTCAAATGCTTCAAGCTTAGCTGAAATTTCTTTCCTAACAGTTTGTGTCGCTTGAAAGTTGTGGCTTTACAGGTGGGAGGAGTTGTTAATGCAAGTAATAGGCTTCACACAGAGTTTGGGTAATGTTTGTGTCACCATAGGAAAATAGTCTCCTGTAGGCAAGGCACTGCGGGGTTATGTGCCACTATGTGGCAAAATGCCTTAGATAGAACAGGCATGGTATTAAATGCACCAGCTAAGCCTTGCTTTTGTGTAACAGTTCCTCTGACTTCTCTTTTCTAAGACCTGAAAATAAGTCCTCACAGGAAAGGGGTTTGATCAGACAGGGAAATACACAGAGTTTGTGTTTTGTTGTAGCTAATATCGGGACTTTTGTAATTACTGTGCTAACATAAAAAGTTACAAGGCCTTAGAACATAAATGTTTTATATGAGAATGAGATGACACTGCCTTTTGAAATCACATATTTTCACTTTTAAAAGGGAACATGTCTTGCAAGGAAAAGATTCTATGTAGTGATCTCTAAATCTGTGCTTGGATATTTTTGTGGATTGTACATATGGTTCCAGTGGCAAGAAGAATAAAAGTTTAGTGACTTGACTCACAAAACAGTCCCTTTGAATTTCTTTTATAAGAAATTAATCCGTTTTTTTAACAGATTGTTATTATCTTCAAATCTTATGCTGAAATGGTGTGTTGGAATTCATTTGTCTAAAAATGAACTTTTATTAGTGGAATAAAAAAAAAACAAAACCAACCATAAAACACAAAACCCCAAATGCCTTAAACCAATAATGAGTTATGGAGCAAAAGTGGTTAAACATGAATTCTTATGAGTGAAACTAATCTTGAAGAAGAAAAGTTGCCTTTTTGGAAATTTTTGTGAGTTTTAAAGAATGACTTAATTTGCTTAGCAGAAATTTGCAATCAATCTTTTCTTGCCACTGAGTAAACAGATTCCACATGCGTAGCTATTTGCATATCCCAGCTAAAAATGTAATACATTATTTTTAAGTCCATTTCATAATGACTATTTCAGGATTAATGCTACTAACTATTCTTCAGCTCTTTCAAATGTGACCTTAGATAATCCTACCTAAAAAGGTACAAAGCTAGTGGGTCTGTTCTGGAATAGGGAAGGGAGGAAGAGAAGTGACTTTTCTGAGGTCACCAAGTAAGTCATCATAAGAGCCAGAACTAGAAATGAGAAATCTAGAGAAACAATTTTGTTTTTCTTCATCTCGAGCTTCCAGATTCAAGCAAATATTGCATTTAATAAGACAGATTTTTACATTTTGCTAGGTATGAAAACAGCACAGAGATGAACAGGAATTAACAGTATAGTCTACATGCAGATTATCACTAAATCTGGTAAAGATTTAAATTAGATTTAATGAAAATAGCATCCATAGCATATTTTACATGGAGCTGCAAACACTGTCCATCCATAACAGGGAGTAAGCCCCTTCACAGTACGTGTGACCTGGTCCATTTTAACTGCTGTTTGGCTTCTGCTTCTGAACTGGCTTTCGCTTGACTGGGCTTTTCAGGGCTTCTCATAAACAAACCACTGGCTTCACCCTCCTGTTTTTCCTGTTCCAGGCTATTCTTGCATAACATTTTCTCCCTTTCATCTTAGATCACTATCACATTAAATGCTCAAAAATCTGGTATATGGAATTGGCATGTCCACATAATATTATTAGTCAGTGAAGCTTCTATAGTCTGTAATATATAATTTCTTCTATGTAGATGCAGTAAAATCTCCACAAATACAATTAGTTAAGTGGTTATCACAGATCTTGATGCTTTAAAAAATTTTCCAGTTAAATATTTTGGATTGTAGTTGATCCTGGGATATATGAAATGAAGAAATACAAATTGCAACTTTTCCTTTTTTTTCAGGCGATGGGTAAGGCTCCTGTTTGGACGTGAATTCCCACTTCAGGACCTTCTGGTTGTCTGGGATGCTCTATTTGCTGACAGTATCACCCTGAATTTAGTTGACTACATTTTTGTAGCCATGTTGTTATATATCAGAGATGCCTGTAAGTATCAACTTAAATTTTTTTTTTTTTTAAGAATGCAAACCTATTCTTTAAAAGAAAATGAGAACTTAAAAAAAACCCTAAATTTCATTGTGACTTTTTTAACATACTGAAAATCATTCCAAATACTAGGAGAGGAGCTATTTTATTATCAGGCACGGCCTGCTGTATTTATGAAACAAATTGTGTCTTGGAGTTAAGTGCAGGTTTGTTTTCTGAGTAGTTCTCTGGTTTTATATGGAGTTACAGGTTTTATGTGCTGTAAGTGATACAGGTATGTATAGAGCTCCACCTTGCGACCAAGCTGATGAATTGAATGAAGCCTCCCTGTGACACCAGAAATATTTTTATGCTGTTCCCCTGTGAGAAAGGAGAAAATGCACAAGACAATGACTCATAATTTTCGAAGATATATCTTGAGGGAAATGCAAAGATGAGTAACAATTACAGAATATGTTTATTCTATGCAAGAATGGCATCTTTTAAAAATTACAATTTATTTTTTTTTGGTTTAGTACACCTGAAATATGTGCGCAGGTGAGTTCTTATAGTTTAGTGATGATCAATAAATATATCAAGTTGGGACAAACAAGAAATTATTAGGTTATATAACTATGAATGGGAGGAGAAAGCTACATAATGATTAATTGAGGCATTTATTTCTGTCCCATTATATTCTGCAAAAAATTCTGTATGCAACTGACACAACAAAGTATGCATTTTGCAACAAGATGCATGGCTGTCATTAAGTCTATGAATTCTATAGCATGCTACTCAGCGTAAAGAATATACCATCTGTAAGCTTTAGGTTATAACAAGGTCACATATTTGACACAATTTTGTATTCTAGGACACAGGAAGTTTCCAACATCTGTGGTTCCTATTTTAGGGGTCAGTCTTGAAAATATAACATGGTACTTTAAATGTACATGTCGTTCCATTGCCTGCCTTCATGTGTTTTTTAATTACTTTTTAATAAACATGCAGCATATAGAGCTACCTTTCATTCCTCTCAAAGAAGTGGACATTTAATTCTGTTCAGAGGTTTCAAAATTATTACAGCGTTTCAGGATGATCTGATTCCAGGTCATTATGTTTTGCAATCTAAATCTTTCTTGTTTATGTGCAGTAAATTGAAGCCATCTTAAAATTTTTGGTACAGGTATGTAGTGAATAGGCACATAAGAATGTGTCCTAACATCAGTATTTTGGTTTGCATCATTATTTATCTTTTTTAAAAAAGCATGTTAAAACTGTGCTTGTAAAAAGGAAGGAAAGTTCTGGGTTTGTTTTCTTTCGTTTTATGGTGCTCGTGTACAAGTATCAGTATGAGTTAACTAAAATGTGAGCTAAAAATGTGTTCCGGGCATTTGTATGAAATCAGTCTCTCTTTTTTCTCTGAACTCCCCAGGTTTAGTAAATAGAGTAGTAAATAGCATTACAGTGGAGCACATTTGCCAAAATGAGAGGCGAAGTCATCTCGTCGGGACAGCTAATACTTCATACGCTGACTGTTTCTGTAATAAGTAACTTCTTGTTCTATAGCTGGACCTAGGTAGCTACTCTAAACAGAATGGTGAAGCAAAATATTCAGTCATAAATACTGTAACTGAATATATTTCCAAAGTCAAGCTCAAACTATAGCTATGTCTACAGTTCTTGATTTGATAAAAAAAGTTTTTCTTACAAATCCGTAATAGAAAAGTTTTCCACATTTCCTCATTTTTTTATTGCTGATAATATTTGAGCTTTGAACAGAGTTCGGAGTTGTGTTACAATAATTTTTAACACATTTTCAAATAAGATAAGTTCATAAAGTCTTCTCTTTATTTGATGAAAGGGAACATAAGCTCAAGCCATCCAATGATGATAATCATATTTCAATAAACCGCCAGGAAATTTTTATTTTAAAAACCTTGAAACAATAGGAATGATAATAGAGCTCCTAAGATATTAGGGTATAAAAATGTTAAAAATAAGCAATTATAATAATACAGTACTAAAACCATTTGAAAGTTTAGAAATTATGCAGATTCTTTTATACCAACACATTCAGGGATGGGTGAGAAGTTGCTGGTTTGGGAATTGAAGGATTTTTTTCTGTGCTCTATTATGATGCTCTCAAAGACATGATTTTAAGAAAGTGTTATTTCTGCTATACTTTTCATTTTTATTTTAGTTTTGAAATCCTCTATTACTCAAACAATGCATTATTCAATTCTCCTTGAGAATTTAGATTATCAGATTATTGTTTATATATTTTAGAGATTAAAGATACATAATCATGTACACAGCCATTCTCTAAACTGCTCTGTTCAGTTTTACATCACTATCCAAGCAGAGCTTTGTCTGTAGGTTGACAATCCTCACAAGCCACTTGTAGGATTGTGTACCAGAGTATCTATGAGTTTTAATAAATTATTTCCTGTGTTTCTTTGGAAAAATTAATGCAAAAAAATATTTTTTTTTAACCTGTCAAGTGAGAATCATGGATATTTACTTTTGTTTTCACCACTGTGGATATACATGCAGTTGTTGATGAAATCAGAATAGAAGGAAGACTATAGTGCAAAAATAAATGTGTTTTATGTACTTCCATTCAAGAAGGACAAGAGTGAACAAACTGGAAGACCTGTCTGTATTTTGTAATTAATTAAGTAAATTAATGTCGTTATTGCACCAGGAGCTAATTTTGACTGATCAGTGTTAGTATTTTTATCATGTTTCCTCTTGAAGACTAGGTATGACCATTTTAAGAAAATAGTTTTTATTTCTAAAAGCACTCTCAGTATTTTGAGGGAAATAAGAAGCCACAATCTCTTCTTAGAGGAACTGATTAGTTATTTTCGTTATAGTGCAAGATGTTCATATTATCTATGTTTAACTCAGTTTAGGCCTACTTAAGAGAACGTGGCCATACATAAATCAGGGGGAAATAGTCGCACCCTTCCAATCTTAGGAAGTTATCTGGGTATAGGATCAGTGACACCAAACATTTAACTCTTAAGAAATTACATGTGTTAGTAAATTAGGACTTTATTGAGGACAGTACAGTGAGTTTTCAGGTTTCCCACCACTATTATTGCTGCTTTTATCCAGGAATGGTTATTGGACCAACAGAGAAATGTGAGTCTCTTCTAAAGCAGAAGGGACAAAGCAATTTGATGCTCCCCTGGGCACTGAATGACAAATATTTATCAAAAGACAGTAAGATTGTTTTCTCTGTGTAGAGGAGTTTCTCTACTCCTTTCCCTAAAAATACCAGTAGCATTCTTCTTTGGGGAAGAAAGAATTTGTGGTTTGCAATAAAAGTTGGATCCACTAATGACTCTCACTAAGCTAGTGAATGAAGGAAAAGCACAGGTAAAGAACCACCAAGCTTTTTATGAGGCAGCTGAACACAGTGTAAGTGAGATATTTCACCATTGAATTTCAGCACTATCCAGCTATTGCTGAGACTGGATAAATTTGTATTGCACAGAATCTCCTTTCAGAAACTTCATCCTATGGATGATTCTTAGAAATCCTTTTAACTCTGATATTCAGTTCTGGTTTAGTGGTATTTTCTCTATACTTTTTAAGAAAACTCCCACTCTGTTGTATAATATTATACATTTTGTCCTGATGAGACAATAATCACAGAATGGTTTGGGTTGAAAGGGACTTTCAGAGTTTATCTAATCCAATCCTCTGGCATGGGCAGAGGCATCTTCCACGAGTCCAGATTGCTCAGAACCCCATCCAACTTGACCTGGAACACTTCTAGGGATGGGACATCCACAGCTTCTCTGGGCAACCTGTTCCAGTGCCTCACCACCCTCACAGTAGAGAATTTCTTCCTTATGTCCAGTCTAAATCTATCCTCTTGGAGTTTAAAAGTATTGGCCCTTGTCATTTCACCACAGGCCCTGGTAAAGACTCTTTCTGTGTTTCTTGTAGCCCTCTTAATACATTGAAAGACACCAAAAAGGTCTCCCTGGAGCCTCCTCTACTCCAGGCTGAACAGCCCCAAATCCCTCACCCTGTCTGCATTGGAGAGGTGTTCCAGTTCTGTGATCACCTTTGTGGCCCTCCTCTGGACTTGCTCTAGCCAGTCAACATCCTTCATGTTGGGGGACCCAGGTGGGGTCTAACAAGAGCAGAGTAAAAGGGAGAATCACCTCCCTTGACCTGCTGGCTTCGCTGCTTTTGGTGCAGCCCAGGATAGTGTTGGCTGTGAGCACACTTGCCTGGTCATGGGCAGCATGCGGATCACTCTGAAACAAGAGGTGTTTCAGCAAACACAGCATTCCCCAGCAAATAGAGCACTGGCAATAGTGTTCTCTGCTATAAGATTTCTACATGAAAAGGGAGCAGCTGAATATGAGGGGAAAACCCTGAAGATTAAAAAAAATATATATATATAAAAGTTATCCAGTCGTCCTCTCTATAGTGCTGGAGTTTTTTAACTTCTGTTGGGTAGCAAGGTTTTTTGTTAGGGGTCAAGTCTGCGCCATTAAAATGAATTAGTTTTTTAAATATTTATTTCTCTCTATACCTGTAAGACATCAAAGAACTCTTCCAGGAAAAATAAAAGATATTTTTAATCCATTTTACATTGCCAAATAGCACACACACTGATCTGTTCAAAAGAGAAACACGTTGGTCTTACTGTCTACTATTTATAAAACTATTTAGCATTTAATATCAATATTCACTGTTTTTATTTGCTTTGGTAAAAAGGCGTCATGATCATAACTGCAGTTCAGCATCTTAAATTTGATTTACATGTGAGAGTTTGATTGGGTATGTACTATGTGGTGCTCGTATTATACTCTGAAAGAACTCTGACGGAGCCCATTGTACTGTGTTCATTATGCCAGCTTTGTGACTTCAAGAAGAAAAAGCAGGTACCTGAATATGAACAAGAAAAACAAAGGGTAGGAAAAAGAACAGGCAGAACAGATAAAGAGTGAGTAGGATAAGTGAGTGCTTTACAAATGAAAGCAGATGTATGAAATTACAAGCTGTCGGATCAGCAACGGAAATGAAGATGATAAAGTGGTTCCTTACACAGATTATAATTATTCATTTTGCCCAGTCCTGCATCTTTTCCCCATAATCCTCTTGTTGAAGGAGGTAAGGTGCAGGAGGATATGAGGCTTATTCACATGAAAGAAAAAAGTAAAACATTTAAATTTCTCTGTCTGCAAAATTGTCCTTTATTTTGCCTTTTATTGATTCAAAATAATTTTGTGCTTGCAATGACCCTGATTAATTAAAAGTATTTGTACTATAGGTAACGTTCTCAGAATAATAAAGTTTGTTAGAAATTTATTTACAATTACTATTGTTGAAGGCTGTGTTCATGTTGCAGTGGAAGCATCATTAACAGGCATTGCTTTGACAGCTGTGGCAGATGGATTGCCTGGATTTAGATGGTGGAAAAGAAATGAAGTAGTTTACATAGACCTGCTTGAAAAGATGTCTTTAATAATTGCACTCATAATTAGATTGATTTGGGGGAAAAAAAAAAAACAAACAACCAAGAAGATGACAACAAGCAAAAAGCCATAGAGTACACTTACATAGATTCAGATAAAATCAAGCAAAATTACAACAAAATTATAAACTTCCTGAATAAATGAAAAAACTCTGAAAAAGTTAATGGTATTATATATTTTTAATTATTTATGAAATTAAAATGTAGTCTTTTCCCTTTTTCCTGAACATTTTGTGAAGTTTCTGATTTATGAGAAAACAAGGAATTGTAGACATAATTTTGTGTATGTGTATGTATGTGAGTGTGTGTGTATTTATATATGTATATAAGAACAACATAAAAGATAGATATTTCAGCAAAGACTTGTCAGAGTGGGGCAAAGTTATCATAAAGCCATAGCCACAAATTATCGTACTTAAATTTAGATTTCTGTAGTCATCCAATGTCTGAAAAGTCAGTGTCCATTTTGAAGTGCAGGACTAGTTTTCAAGCTCCACTGACTGTATTGCCCTGACCTCCACTGACTCGGGCAGGCTTTAGGGGCACATTTAGGTGCTTTAGGCATCTAAATCTGGAGCTAAATGTCTATAACAAAGTCATAGGTTTAGTATTTTCCTTAATTATATTGGACCAAGTGTAGTCATGAAGCTTGATTATGTAGTATCTTCTTTTACTCTCAGCACTGCTTGAGTTCTGAGAGACCATGTGGGAAAAGACAGCTGAATCTGAACTGTAATGAATTTACTGGAAAAGGTAGTAATGCAATATCAAAATAACATAGTAATATTTTTTCTCCCTCTCTCTCTTTTTTTTTTTTTTATTTTCATTGTAGTGATTTCAAGTAATTATCAGACCTGTTTGGGACTTCTGATGCATTACCCACCCATTGGAGATGTTCACTCCCTTATCCTAAGAGCACTTTTTCTCCGAGATCCAAAGGTGAGATTGCTTGCTCTGTAAATATAGGGAATAAATCAATGTAATAAAATGTTCTAAATGCTATGAAGTTAATAACAACCTACATTTTGGGTACTAAATGATAGTTCAAGTTTCTTCTTACCTAACAAAAGAGCTGAAAGAACGAGTTGGTAACAGAGTAGAAACATTCCTTTACTCTTTAAAGGACATTTTACTAAAGTTATCCAGGAGCTCTGGTAACTGCAGATGTTTATGCTCTTTAAAATAACTTTGCTTGGTATTCAGCACAGACATCTTTCATGATGAAGTATACTTTTGAGGGAAACAGTAGTGTTACTATATAAAACCTAGTAAGCTGTATAGAAACCATCATGCAATTTTATCTGAAAGATAAAATTCTCGTGGGATTTCTGCAGATTAATCACTGTTAATCCTTAAAGCACCACTACACATAGTTATGTGATGGTTTTCAACTAAAAACAAGAGTCTAGTGTTAGAGCCTGTAAAGATTCACATGAATAAAATGTATAAATTCATAACTTTTATGTCACCTATTACTAGAATACAGTCTCTGATATACTCATCTATAAAAAAAAAGCAAACCTCTTGCTGTTTTAGAATGGCATATGTATGTGTGTGGGTATAATATACAGGAGACACCCAGAGTAGAGTGGATAAAGTGCTTGAGATGAAACTGTACACTGTAATCTCTGCATACTCAGATCTTTGGCAGATAGCAGAATTTGTGCTGCTGGTTTTGAACTGTCTTTGTACACGTCCCATTAGTAGGTTGCCAGTGTAAAGTCTGATTTCCCTCATCTTCTTGATGCACAACATCTTTGAAAGCAAGAAATTCATCACTTCTGCACTCTGACTGCCTTCTGCAAAATTTCATTCAGTACCAGTATTTACACTCTTATGGATTAAGAAAAAAATTGTCTCTTTGTTTTTTCTGTATCAGTTTTTTGCAGAAGTCTGCATCCTTACAGATGCTTTCTTCATTCCTCTCAGGCACAAAGATTTCTTTAATGATGAGAAGTAAAGTGTATCATGTTTTCAGTATGTAATAAAGTTTCTAACATTAGATCTTAGGAATCTTTCTTAAGATTTTGGCAGCAGTCTGTGAAATCAGACTGCCCAGCATTTATTTATGTACTTTCTTAACAAAATATTTTTTAGAAGAAAGATACAGCGGGAGGAATATTTTGCTAAGATGTCAAACTGAATTCAATATGTAATCTGTCATTTATTGAAGAAGATATGTTAAAAGATAAAGTAATTACTAATTATTCGGCTGTCCTCCAAAACACACTAGGCAATATAAAAGATATCAGCTGAAGGGGGCAAAAATAAACAACCAACTTGCCACAAAAGAGGCTTGATCACTAATTAACTCCTTATGCTCTTGTCTCCAACAGAATGAAGTTGTCAGGCTCATAAGGCCTGGTGTTCTATTAATTAACATTCTCAGGTGTGCCTTGAACACCTTTCAGAAAAATACTGGATGTAGTTCCTACTGTGTCTTTCCTGTAGTTCTCCCTTTGCTCAGGTGACTGAGGACTTAAAGCTCTTTAATGCAAAGTGTGGTCATTGCTTTGTCAATTTAAGTGTGATAAATTGCAATTGTTCCTCATTTCTGAGCTATACTTATCTGCTTGGGAAATACTGTGAAAGTTAGGAAGCTGTGATTTCCAGAGGATGAAGAGACCTAAGGGATTTCAACCACCTTTCATTTTATGTTGGGTCTTTGGGTTGAGACTCCATAAAAAGATCAGGACTTCTTACAATAAGGAAGTAGAAGTGTTCTAAAGGATCACTCTAAAATAAAAAATAACTCTGGTCTGAGAAAGAAATATATTTTCAAGACTGTGACTTGAGTACCTTTTTCTTATGTTTTCCTAGGTATGATTTTAAGTCTCCCATATGAGCTTGTTTGTTCAATTAATTTTTTATGTTTGTTCAATCCACTTTTTTCCATATTTCTGTAATAGAAGTCTTGGTATTCTATAACACCAATGCATAAAAATTTTGCAAGTCTGTCAAAATTTTTCATTCCATGAAAGGAAAGGGAAGACGTTTAACAAGGCATCATGGGTGCTGTAGGAGTCTAAGTTGGTGCACCAATATAAGTAAGAAAATTATAATACCCTTTTTTTGCTATCTGCATGAAAATAATTCAGTTTATCCTTATTCCAGATAAAAGGAGATAGGAAGAAATGACAAAGAGATTTTAGTTAGTAGTGTAACTTGTAAGTGGTGATTAGCAAGTTCAGTGCTTAATGATTTTTCTTCCTTCTTTGATATTTTCCTGTACATTTCTCTGTCACCAGCTTCTGGTTTCTAATAGGAAATTACATTTGGTTCAGTGCAATTTTATCTCTCCTTATCCAGGGCTGAATTGTTCTGTGTGGCATTTCTTCCAAGATTTCACTTGGGTTTTAATATGTGAAAGCAGGGAACTCTTCTCTGGGAGACTGTTGCATGGTCCAATGGCTTATTTCATTATTCGTTGAACATACCAAGAATGTTTAGTGTTGTTCCAAATATCTGAGGGAGGCCTGCTCTCTGCTCCTTGGAGCTTTAAATCTCAGCTGGACAAGAAATGCAGTTTAGAAGTCATGGCCAGGAACAAACAGGAATCTGCCTCTTGCAGGTTTGCTAACATATATTGTCTTTCATTTTATTTTTGCAGCTGGGTAAATGCCAGAAAGTCTTACACAGGGAAGATTGTGGGGTATTTGGACCAAGACAGATAGGTAGTATGTACATAAAACTGAAGGGTTCTTAAAGAACAATCTTGTTGTAAATGATGAAGTAGATAGATGGACCTGATACAGCCTTTCCATCTCTAACTTCCAATTCTGGAGATAATCTGGGTTTGCAGATCTAGTAACATCTATTATTTCTTTCGTTTCCTTGATCTCACGTAACAGGTATCTCCTTCTTCCTTATTTGTGTTATAGTCTATCAGGAGAGCTAAACTTTGGCTTCATGAACCTGTCACATTTTGTTTGCTTCTTTTCACTGCGGTCATCACCAGGAGAGCAACCGAAATGTCAGCAGAAAGCTATACTTAAAAGATAGGAGGCTTTTTTTTCTTACAGATGGACAAGTACAATTTCTTGACCTTTTGTGGAATCAAACCTTACCAGAAGTCTTAGCATTATCCAGTATTAAAAATAATATGAAAAGTAATTAGTGCTTGCCACTAACTACTAAACCCTAATGCTTGCAAGCAGCTCTCCTTTTCACTTTGTGAACCCCAGTTGGCAGTTGAGATGAGGGGACATTTTAGATATCACATCTCTGATATTTTTCACTGCCACAGAAAAGAAATACACATCACTGTAATAGCTGAAAACAAGTTAATGCACCTGCCTCTGAGGGGGGGCCTGAGAGATACTAATTTTGCAGGCATGAGTATGGATCGATGGAGAATAATTGAATTTCAGCCTTTTCTGCATTTGGCTAGCTCCATTTCTTAGGAAAGTGTGGAATGAAAAGCTCAAATCAGTGTTGTTGTCTTTGCATAGGGTGATACGTTAACCTGCTTAGCAGAGTGTTTGTTTCACATTTCTAATCTTTGAACAGATAATTGCCTCAATTATTTATATTAAAGTAACTTCTATGCACTTACAGTCCTTCTGAATAGAAAAGTAGAGCTTCTTATGGAAGAATGGGCTATTAAAAGTATGTATATATGAAATGAAAAAAATAAGGGAAGGTTCTTTTATGTATATCCAAAAGCATTTACTGAAGGTGTGTGTCTGCATATTTAATACACCATGAGTGGCTCATTTTCTTCATTTTTTTTCCTTATCAAAACCACTGAGCACTGTTAATTTTCAAAGCAAAGGCTGCGAAATTAGGAAGTAGAGATACGGAGATAGGGCAGTGGAAAAATATAAAGTGATTAAAAAACATAGTTCTAACTAGAGTTGTTCAAATAAAAAAAAAAATTAAAAAAACCAATTAGAAACAAAAGTCATAGAAAATGTGAACATATTGTGTTCCTTAAATAACCAGATGTTCTTTCCTTCCTGAAGGCAGCCAGGGCTAGGAATAAAAGGTTTAAAACTATTGTTTTAAGTTAACTGTGAATTTTGAAAATCTGTTTTCACCCTTTAGCAAATAAAATTCTAATACAGCGACATAAGCAAAGTAATTTTCATCTTTGGGTGTTCGTATTTGTATGTTTAGATATGTTGAAGTGTTAACCTTATCAGAATGACTTATTGGAAAACTGAAGCACTACACAGAATATTATAGTTTTGCATCGCATACTAAGAACCTGACAACTGTGCTTTGTCTCAAAGTTTATTGTATTTATTCTTAGTATTCTTGTAAAATAAGCTTGCTTTCAGATATTTTAGCGTGGTGAGTTACCCTAGTCGTTGAACAAGCTAGTTAAGAGTTTAATTCAGTGGAGACAGCTTTTATCATAAGCCATCAATTAAAAAAAAAAAAAAGAAAAAAGAAAGAAAAGAATATGCTTGGTTGATGGAAATTAATTTGTTGCTTATGCTAATAATATTCTAGTTACTGCTGTTGATATTTTCTCAACATAGTATTTTCAACTATTTGCTGACATTGAAGGTGGCTATATAATAATATAAAATTTTAACAAAATCCATGGAGAAGCATACATGACATTTCAAAGAAGTCATATTAGTTCATCGTGACTGAAATTACAGGTACTGCCAGAAAACTTAAACAATAAAATATGGTCATGATCACTCATCTAACGATTAGTTGGAAAAATCTGCATTCTGGCTTTTAACACTATTCACTATCTGAGCAATGTGACAAGGAGAAAACACATTGCTGAAATTTTGAACCGAACTCTTTGTACATTTATTTTCAGCTGAATTTTCTTCTTAAGTAGCTGCCACCGTCTCAGAGTTTTCTCCAAGCTGGTTTCATGTGCCTGAAAGGCTGTTGAGTTTCACTTTCTTCTTCTTCAGATAAATTCTTTTCTATACACTCATTAACTGAGGTGCTGCTGCAGAGCTGCAACTGTC